AGCCAAACACCAATGCCTTCCCCTGCTCTTACAGCTCATCTACCTGCCACAGATTCTTCACTTCATGACACAAACTCTTATAAGACCTTTTTGCAGCTCACTCCTTAGCAGCTTAGTCTCTTCTTACTCCTCTTTCACAGTAAGACTTAGGGAAGAATAAAAAAAAGAAAAAATAATGTTGGCTCTGCTTTTCCACTCCCTGCTTTCTGATTACCTTCTCCTTTTCCCTTTCAGCTTTATTGAATATGCTTCTTGCAGTAAGCATCAGAAGTCCTTTTCTCCACCTCCATGCTAGACTCTCTCCAATACCTCTATAGCAGTCCACAAAAAAAAAAAAAAAAAAAAAAAAAAGGACCTTAGTAATCTCATAATTGTAAAATATTTCACCCTTCTGGCTCTCTCAGGTGACTTCAACATACGTCAAATACTATTCTCCCTTGGCTTTTATGTCTCTTGTCTCCTCAGTCTTCCACTTTTTTCTTTAGAAACTTCTCTTTTTTTATAAACTTCAAATATCTGATATTATTCCTCAGATCACCTTCTTTCCTGCTTCTTGCAAGTATGCTCAGGTAATCCCAGACACATCAATTTTTACAGTATTTTATGTTGTTACTCAGAACAATTTGAGATGGAGATTTTTACTGTTATCATCATTGGTGCTGCTGTGTTGGTGCTTTAATGTAATTTAAACTCTTTTGATAATCCAAATTCAGATTGATTTTCTGTGGTAATGCAGTAATTATATAACTGAACTAAACCAGAAGTAATATTTCTCTTGATTTCTCATTCTTCTTCTAATCATTGTCCACACAGACAATACTCTGGATGCTCAGAATTTCTTAATTAATTCCAGAATCAAGTTTGTGGCTCTTTTCTTTCTATTGGTCTATTTTTCTACCTTGTATATGTCTGGATCTCCGGAAATACCTCATTCCTTGTACAAATACCTCACTACCAAGTTAAGGTCATGCTCCTTCTTGATCTTTCCATGGCGCCAGGAGTACCCCTGAAATGCTTGGCGGTTAATAGCTGATCACTGATTTAAGTGGGAAGTGAGAAACCTGAATATTTTATCGGATCTGGGCCATGATCCCCCCTCAGGGAGCTTTTATCCACATAAACTCAGAGTATCTGTGTAGAATACAAAGGTATGGCTTTGTTTGAGAGATCTGCAATACAAGTACTGACAGACAATGTCTAGTTCCATGTTATATGAATAGACAAGGAGAAGTCAAGTCAATTCTGCTCTCTCAAGAGTTTCACTTCATCTTGGGAGTGGAGCAAATACCAGACTTCCTCCCTTGCCCCAGGGTGACACAGAGTGATGCGGTCCTTCTGATTCTGGAAAGCCCCTAACCAGCTGGCACTGTCACTCTATGGAGCACTCTCCACCTGTTAGAAACCCTAAATTCATCTGAAAACACAGCAGCTCCAGCAGTACAAAATACTATTTGCATGCTGGATGAAAGGCTGGAAAATGATGACTTTTTACTTTGCAGTTGGCTGGAGAGCGCCCTGACCACCAGGCTGTAGCCTAGCTTTGACTATGTGGGTATAAAAGCACTGTCCATTGCTGCTCAAAATAAAATTGTGTCACTGTGCAAAAAGTAAATGAAGGGCAGAAGGGGAGCGGCTCATAGTTTGTTTTTCTTTTAGGGGTAGTAATAAATTGGGGAATCCTGGCCTGAGATAGGAACGGTTTTCTGGAAACAGCAATGAGGTAAGAAAACTAACACTAACAGCAACACACTGGTCACAAAAATGTACAAAGAGAGAGTGATTTACATACAAAATGCTCACTAAACTTGGGATGATGGAAAAAAATGGTGGACAGACCTTTTGCCCTTTGACCATGCTTTCCCTTGACCATAAGAGAACGCCCTTTATTTCCTGAAAGCAAAAGAGTCCCTTTTCCTCAGCTCCTGGCAATGACTTACAATGGTAAGGAATAATATTCGAGTCTTGGCCACACCCACACAGCTCCAGGCTCTGCCTCCACATAACTACAAAAAATTAACCTGCCTTTGGCCAAAACCAGACCCTCTTTTGTTTAATCTTTTATGTCTGACTGTTATTGTGTTAGTTTTAGCACTCCTTTATTGTACAATAAATGCATTTTATATTTTGATTGGTAACAATGTTCAACATTTTTTATTTGTTATATTTATTTGTGTTTTTTCATGGAAGTTGTAAAAAGTTTAAACATTAAAGAAAATCAGGCAAACCCTTACTCTATGTTTCACTGCTGAGAGTGGGTTTTTGCAGTGGTAAGTGCATTAGAAGAATCTAAAGAAAGAACTTGGTCTCATTCTCTAGGTATTGGAGTTTCTCTAGGTATTGGAGTTTCTTTAATTCTATGTCATTTGCTGATGACCGGGAAACACCAAGAGCTGAGGTTTCAAATATGTGTTGCTTGAGTTACACATTTCAGGACTTAGGTGACTTTCTCAGTTAGTTTGGTCCCTTGCGTATCAAAACTGTAAATGAAGACAGTTAGACCTTTTGATGGTCATCAGCTCTGAAACTATTGCATTGTTTACACTTCAAATGTCATGTCGCATTCAAATTAAAAAACCCTAAAACTTAGAAACAAAACTTACTCCTGTGACAGAACCATATTCATCTTCAGAGAACCTTCCCAGGGAAAGATTCAGGGGTCATAAAACATGGTTCCACAAGGGATGGATAAGATCCCTAATTCCCTTTACATATGCAGAGAAGAAACTACTATATTCTATCCTTATAGTTTAAAATGCAGATCTTTTTCTTCATCTCAGAAGGTGTGGTCACCCATGTCTTTCTCTCCACGTCCTTTGTATTCCTGCAAAAATCAGAGAAAAGGAACAAGAGAAGCAAAGACTGGAAAGAATGTATCCTGAGAGGGGGACAGAAGGGTGGGGGGTAAGACCAGGCAGGTATGACTTATTTAATCTCTGTCATATTAATCAGCTGCAAATTCAAGAAGACGCGCAGAAATGAAAAATCCTGAGGAAATCACTATCAATAGATTGCCTCAGAACTATTTTCAATCAGCAGGACCACGAACTATATGGGACCTTCTTGGGCACTGCAAGAAGGGCAAGTATCCACATTCTGCACAGCACTACCAACCACATGTGACTGACAAACCCTCTCAGTAGAGTGACAATATCATGTCATTTACATGCTCATGGCAACCTTTTCAAACAGGGCAATATAAATAATTGTGGCAAAAAATAGATGCTTGGATAGAGAGAAAAATGAATGCCTCATGTCTATATAATTAATTACAAATTTGCATAAAGGAGCATTGCCGGTACAGGTAAGTTCATAGCCAGCTTGTGGGATGGAGAAAACTTTTCCTTGCTGCTTGCTGAAAGCCCCCCACCAAACCAATTAACCAAACAAACAGAAAAACCCCACTTTTTAATTATTCCTTAAGGAACACATAAAGCCAGCTTCTGATTAGAGGCAAGCCAAATGTGGTTAAGCAAGCTGTATAATATGAAGAAAATAATGTTCTTCTCTTTATGCTGACATAATTAATATTGCGTATTAACAAGAACGGAAATATATTCAGGAAAAAATGAGGCAGAATCTTTTATACAACAAATAACAACTTGTGAAAATGAATCACAGGTGAGATAGGAGAAAATAAAATCCAAGCTGTGACTATAATATTGAATACTCAAATTTACATCTTACGGTGTTGGAAAAACCATCACAGTTATTAGTGTGAAAAGCTCAAGGAAGACAATGACAGCAAGATGACACGTGACCCTCATGAGTCCCATGCTAAGGTTTGAAATTTAATGCTTCAGAATACACGCTTGCTTGAGACTCAAGGAATCTATGCACTGGAAATAGAGTTTTATGTGATGAAAGACAAGTAGACCAGTCATGGTTTATGAAGAAGCACGGGGAGCAGAAAGGCATTTCGTGGAAGTCTGATAAAAGCCTCCACTTTAAATCCTTCAGACAATGGAGCAGAGAAAGTCCCTTGGCTGGTGTGAGCAAAGAACTGGTGGTGCCGAGGAAGTGAAGTAGCCATTCATCATCATGGCATGGGAGAAGTTGTATGAAGGATGAAAAAAGCCCTCCCAAGCACCCTGAGCCCATGCAGTAATTATGTCAGGCATTTGACCTACTGAAACCACAGTTAGCTTCTAACAGATGCACAGTTGTACAGCCAAACATTCACAATCTTAGTCATGTTTAAACAGCTTCCAGTAAAGATGACACAGGTCTATTAGAGGAATTTGCACATTCCCTTGGGAATTGATTGGTTTCTTTTGAGTCTTTATCCTCAGCCTTGGCTGCCAACTTCATCTTTACAGTTCATACTCCTTATTTCACCTAAGAACCTAATAAATGGAATGTTGTCCCCAGAGATATGATTTTTGCTACTAGAGAAAATATGGTTTAGTGAGGATTGACTGGCTTATGCTACAAATTTCCTAAATTGAATATGTATATTTGATACATATATATCAATTTGAATATGTATATTTAAGAATGTGGCCATGAACCTTAGTTTGGGGTAGAAAAGAAACACTGTTCTCCAATTTTTCCTTTAAAAAATTAGTAAATATCATACAAAATGCATCACCAATCCCAAAGACCTGATGTATCATGTTCTCTTTCCTTTAGCATTTCTTTGGGCAACTCCTTGTACAGGATCCAGGGATGCTGGGAGAATAAAATTGTTCTTTCTCACACAGGAACCAATCCTGTTAGGTCAGGCATTCTTTCTGGCTCTGAAGCTGCCTGATGCCAATGAAATCAATAGAGTTATCAACATTTGCAGCAATGGCAGGCAGCGTCAGGTCCTTCTCTTCCTTGGCAGTCTGCAGCTCTGGCTCAACACCAAAAACAAAGTGCCTTATCCTATGGGCAGTGAACTATCACTGCTACTGGTACCAGCTGGAACCCAGATAGGCTGGAAAGAGGTAACTCAGGGACACCTCCCACCACTTCCCCTCCCTCTCTCACACACACAGACCAGAAAAAGGTGACAAAGGCATTGTTGTCATTGAGCGGATCATTTTAATTCTTAAAAGCCAGAACCACAAAATTGAACTATTTAAAATCAAAAAGAAACCATAATACTTTTACAATATATTTTTTTAATTACTCCTCTGTTATCACCAGATAAGTTCACAGTATTTAGCTGAAATCAGTGGAATTATGTCAGCATGAAATGTAACTTATGTGGTAGTGAATCAAGTCTTTCAGGAATAAAGCTCAAAACCAGGGATGTAGGAGATAGCACATATCCGACTTAACAGGAATGGACCAGAGACAGAAGTAAACACAGTCTTTGTAATTTTCTAGGTGAAGGCATAGGGGTAACTGTGGTACCAGTTTATCCTTCTCCACTTCATACTCATGCATTTTATAACAAAATGAAACTAATTAAATTAGTCACTAACTATGTTCCTAGGATTTTTTTGAAGTAAGTTCTGTAAGGTTCTGTAAGTAAGTTCAGAGACCTTTTAAGGTGTTTCAAACAAGATTTCAAGCAGGCAGACTGATTTTGCTCCTTCCCCTTCTCAGGCTTCAGCACTCTTATTTTGGCAGTATATTTTTATTTTCTAGTAGAATTCAAGCAAATGCTGCTTACAAAAGCATACTGGAAATTAGTCCACCTTATATATATTGATGAAACCAAGCTTACTCTGTATCATCTACTTGATCCTATGGCTAGTCATTATTGGTTACCTGAATCGTGCCCGGGGTACACACGAGTAGACAAGAGTGACATTTTTCCTGCAATACTGCATTGCATTCAGAATAATATTGTGTCCAGATTGCCAAAGACATCTTTATGATGTTTTAATTAAATCCTGACCCTGCAGCCGTGAGGCGTTGATGAGGAGTTCTGTTATGCAACAGAAGAGTTACAACCGTGGCACTATGGGAGCAACACTACCAGTACATCAGCTGTCCTTTGGCAGCCAAATGCAGGTTCTAGGCAGAAAAATTGTGGAAAGCCTATCAGGTAAGATCTCCACTTTTAAAATGACCAGTCTATGCAGCCATGGTGAGTGGGCTTCTCCTAAGTGTTTTCCTGAGAGTAATGGTTTAACCTAACCATTGCCAATCCAACCTTTTCCCCTGGCAGAGTCATTTTTTTGCTCCTACAGTTTCCTTCATCCAAGCTGACCATTACCACTGAACAAGAGTCATGAAAATTGAAGACTTACATATATCTATTCCTTAGCTCAATGCTTCACTAAAGCCTTCTGTTATCCCTGCTCCCACTCTTTCTCTACAACCATGGAGTATACAACATTGAAGGCAGAGATCATGCAGACAGAGCTTTAAACCAGACAGCTTGTATACCCTAAAGGGTGAAGTTGATAGTTGATATAGTGTGGAACTGCGTGAGCTACTTCAGCACCTCCAGCCTAAGTTGCAACTATGCCTTGATGCATTCTGCTGCAGCTGCAGTGAGCATCCCTCAAGCTTGGTATTGCAATGCTAGTTTATCTGCGCCACCTACGGTAGTAAGGTAAATGACTACTAATGAATGTGGTATACTCTTGCAGGGACATGGTTAGGCGTAGACTTGGTAGTGTTGTGTTTATGTTTGGGCTCAATGTTCTTTAGACTCTTTTCCAACATAAATTACTCTATCTTATGATTCTATATTGCACAGAAACCACTGAGGCATAAACAAGTCTTCGGATTTCTCTGCATGCCCCTTTTCACCAGCATCATAAAGCCCATTGTTCACTCTATCTTGTGGTGATGAAGCATCCTCAGCAACTTATCTGCCCTGGAAGATGTGGGATTTGGATGCAATGGCAAGCAGACCCCAGCTAGAGACTGAAGAAACATCTGAGTTCAGCAACAAGATCTCCAGAACAAGCAAAGAAGGTGCTGATATCATGGGCTGGGATTTTACAAAAGGCCCTGAGCAATTCATGAATGCTAAATTTCATTGTGTCCTGTGAGAAAAGCCAGGAGGGAAAGAACTTGGTAAAATGTCAAGCATGAGTAGAGACCTGATATGACTCTTTCTATAAAATTAATTTGGAATAATTCTGGGTTTCATTTCAGTGCAGAGAGAAGATTAGGGTCAGGGGTTTTTTTATCTTATTCTAAAGCGATGCTGTTATTCCTTCTTATATTTCTATAATAAACTTCTATGAATTGCAATCAAATGATCACCTGCAGGATTCAGTTTTATTGCCTAAGTCAAATGCATTATCTTTACTTCCATTTTGGAGAGCATTACAGCCATGTGCAGTAGTCCAGACCCGCTTAAAAAAACAATAATAATAAAAAAGGCACTCATTTAATTTAACAGCAAGGTTTTTTTCCATCAAAAGGCTAGATAAATCACCATTATCAAGGTCAGTCCTAAATACAGTATATGGCACAAAAAATTCTATAAATACTAATGTGTATGCTGAGTTTTGGAACTTGCTATCTCCCATTGGCTGTATGTACCTCAAAAAAAGACTCTATTAGTAACACTGGAAGAGGAACTAGAACATTATCACACCTCAGGCACAGTCCTTTCCTTAGGATGCTTATCCAGGAAGTGAGTTCCAGTTTGATGTTCTTTATATCTAAAAGGGCTCAACCTCACAGCTCCCTCTTCTCAGGAAAGACACTTAACTGTCTTATCTACTATTAAGTTTATGAGCAAGCCTATATTATGGAGGCCACCAGAATGTCACTTAGGTATGAAGTCTCTTTTGAGGTGAAGCCATGAACTCCACCATTAACACTGACATAGTCATCATATGTATCCTACACATAAATGGAGAAAGTAGGGTAAAATGAATGAGGTTTAATTTTTATCCCTGCTGGAAAGTTTTCTCCCTTGATTTACCATCCCACATATCAAAACAATTTTGAAGGAAGAAACACTAAATAGTGTTTTGCATTACCACGTAAGATAAAAGCCCTTAAAAAATAGTTTGAAGAGTTGGCACAGGTGTGCAGTTCCCTTGCTTCTGGCTCTCAGGCTCAAATCAAGTTCACAATGGTCAAAGTTTGTGCCCTTGTGGGGTGCTCTAAGTGAAGGTCCTAACTACCTCTAGGTTCAGCAGGGAGGGCCTCCAGGGCCAGCTTTTGCATGTGAAAAAAGTATACTGTAATATCTGGGCCGTTCACTTAAGAGTTGGACTGGATGATCCTTGGGGTCCCTTCCAACTCAGAACATTCTGTGATCCTAATTGATTCTGTGATCTATGCATTGATCAAGTGGCTCCTCCACTCTGACACACAGATGTAATAGTTTCCTGAGAGTGCCAGCAAAGGCTCCACAGGTGTTTAGCAGCACCCAGAATAAATGCCCAACACCTTTCATCCCTGTTCTGTTTGACTTTGTGTGGGACAGACTCTCTGTCTTGTTTAAGCCTACAAACATAGTGCAGTGTGTTTAGACCATAGTCATTCACTCAGTGCACACACCTAATATCGTAACAGCCTATTGCATTGGGAATGGAAGAAGTCTGATGCAATAACCCCATTCACGCTTTGTAGGAGAAGGATCTTAATGTTTCCGTATACCGAAATCTGAAATGCTCACAGGGCCCTGAGGACAAAGCATCAGGTGTCATCAAGAGGAACACAGGCTGCCATGCACAATTTCAATATCTAACATTTATTCAATTTTTTTTCTTTCTTTTCTTGTGCCTTGCAGGCACCTGGGTTTTTTTTGGGTTTTTTTTTTTTTTTCTTCTGTTAATAAACTGTGTTTTATTCACTTTCGCCCCCTGGTATCCATTACTCTCATTGGTGAAAGAAAAGGGAATTATTGAAGTCCTTTCTGCTTAGAGGAAATGCTCATTCCAGGGCATTTTCTCCTGAAACTTGTCTCAAAACCAAGACACACGCTTTATGCAGTACTCTGACTTTACTAAGTTTGCCAGTGCCTCTGGCACCACTGTAGAAATTGCCTCTGCAAACAGAAAGCCCATCTTATATTGGCCATCCTAAGCTGGTAACTTTCAAGGTTTGTCCATGTTTCCAGCACTGGACAGGGGGGCATAACTTGCTTATATATCATTTAGTTCAAATCTTCATGAGGCTGTTCTTTTTATACTGCTTCCATTCAGAATTAGTTTGGTGCTTTCAAAGTTGGGCATTAATTTTTTCTTAATAAGATATCATCATAAAACATGCAATTTAGTGCTTCGTTTCTTCCAATTTCCATACAGAAATCCAACTCTGTTAAATTTGAGTTTAAATCCCCCTGTCCCTTCATGTAACTCATGCTATAGACTATGGAGGGTTACCGACCCATAGCAAATAAATTAATAAGCTTGCATCATTATATTTGGGTCATTTTATTTCAGACCGTGAAATCAAAATCTCTGTTCACATTAGTGCAGGAATTGCTCTAACTAGCCATTGGGGCTCCCTTGATATACCATCTGCAAATGCAGCAGACTGGCACCTGCTGGAACAAAGAATCCATGCTCATAGATTGCATGCATGTTTTTTTCCCATTACCTTTTCTGGGCATCAGCTTTGCATCCTATTTCTAGCCATTTCCTGTCTCAAAAGAGTAATTCTGCTTGACAGCATGATCTTTGTCTTTTGTAGTCAACAGTTGCTGAAAAGTCTCACCTGGCTACCAGGTAGGTCAGATTACCTGCCTCCAGCTGTCCTGGGGTGCAGTGCAGAATATATTGGCATAGCCACCAGAGAGGACTCCTAGAAAGCCTGGGAAGCAGAGCTGTGCTTCTGATGGAAAAATGTGTCATAGCACTGTCGCTTATCCCACTTCTCTTGGCCTCCTATGCATCATCTGCTAAAAGGACATTGTCTTTATGACAGCTTGAGTTTTGGAGGTTCTTACTTGGCTCTTCTTGGCTCCATTTCACCTCATGATCACTTTAAATTGGAGGCTTGAGAAAGATCTGCATCTTGGATTGCTGCCGTTCCCCGGAATCTAATTGAGCTTGAAAAATAGTTATAGCTTCTATACCTTATAATGTGGTCACACAAGATAAGGCTGGTACGGTTAACATCTAAGTTACTGTGGTCATTGCTATAGGCACCTTAGGATCCATCATGGAGACATGTCCATTACACACAGCATCGAGTTATGACAAGGGATCTTCCTGCTCCTGCTGTATGCTTAAAGGGGCAAAACAGGACCATCATTACATGTATTTCCCCACTGCAGAGACTGACAGAAAACTTTTTGCCTATAACAAACAACAATATGGGCAGCCTGTCAGTGACTGACCACCTTACATCTCTTGAAAAAACAGCTGCATAGAGCTGTCTTGTGAGGTGGGCCAGCTGCCATCCACAGCTGGATGTAAATTGCCCACGCACACCACAGTGAGGAGGAGGAGGAGCATGAGAGGATTTTAGCTGAGAAAATAGAATTGGAATGTGCTCCAGAATGGGAGATTAGTTCACTGCATTACTTATGATACATTAGTCAAATAACAGTAGAGAGAAGTATCTAGAGCTTCATGAATTTCAAAGTTAGCGAGTACTGGTGAATACTTACAAGTAACAGGGCAACTTTTAAACACTGAGTTAGTTCATTGGTGGCTATAAAAGTGACAGACCTTATCCAGCCTCTGCATAAAAAGTCTCAAAAATGGTGGCTTCTGGATGGCAAGAGGATGCACCAAAGGAAAGATCATGCTGTATGTGCCCTGTGCTGATGTACTTTTCCTAAGCATCTGCTGGTAGCCCTGTCAGCCTTGTACACTGAGTTAGATTCCCTCTAATCAAGGAAGAGAGCTCTCATGTTTTTCTAAAGGAGGATCTGTGGGGAGATAGGTTATGGTAGCAGAAAAATGACATCTTTCCCAGCTCCTTTACAGCAGAAATGCCTCAGTTCTCCCCTCGATAAGCTTGTTGAAGTTCCCACCCCTCGCAGTACAACTTGTATTTGAATAGCTGAGGGTAGAACTTTCGGAAATTCACATTTCTAGATGTTGAATATAACATGAGAAGAGCTTACCTGTCTGGAATTTTCGATGCAGCTATTTCATACGAGGGTGATTTCTAGCAGATGTAGCCATTTTGTACTTATAAAGTTAGCAACAATTTTGGCATTTGTGTGCAAGAAAGCCACTGAAAGAAAATATGAATCAGAAATTAAAGGAAGTCTAAGCAGAAATGAAAGCAGCTGCCAGCCTCCAGAATAGCATTCCAAAAGTTTAATTGTGTAGTCATCACCCTTTTAAACTTCAACCATACAGAGTTTGGCAAGAGAAAAAACAGAAACAACAACAAAAGAAAACCCCACCGCAACACTTTTTGTCACATTAAGGGACACACAAAAAGACGATTTTTTAATTTTAGTGATGACTTCCTTTGAAAATCCTTTTCATTTGCGTCCAGCCCTTCCAAGTACGGCACAAGGGGGATGCCAGGTCCATTGCCGATGTAGTGGACCAGCCAACAGGGGGCAGGCAGAGGACAGAAATGAGCACCAGAGACCGACACCCCTTCATTGGAGAGCCCAGAAAAGCAACAGTCAATCACCCTACCAGCAGATCTAGCTGGTCTCCAGACTGATTTCATTAGACAGACACCTCCCTCCCTGCCTCACCATTTCGTTATGACACAGGAAGATGTCAGCCTTTCATGGGACAAAAGGACATTCTCGGGAATGCAAAGGATTGAAATATCATCTCATACCCTGGCATGCTTCCAGGACACCAAGGATGTGCAGTCTCCTTAATCACAAGTCCTTTTTTGGTCCTGCTGCATTTTAAGAGACTAGTCTGACTCAAAGACGGTATCAAGTTCGCCTAAAGTAGCCTGGAGGATTTGCATTTGAAAGCCATCCAGTAGAAGCTTTACCAAACTAGCTTTTCTGAAATTAAAAACAGAAAGGAGGGTCTTGCTTAACAGTGGGGGTGGTTTTTTTTTTGTTTGTTTGTTTTTTGGGGGTTTTTTTGGGTTTTTTTTTGTTGTTTTGTTTTTTTTTTTTATTCTCAGTTTTGCCCTTGGGAAAGAACACTGCTTTCTGCCTCCATTATAACATTTTTGGAAGGTATGGTCCTTTTATTTGGGTGAGGTCATTAAGCAGAACACCAAAAGGACAGACAGAAGGTATTTTGGAAGGCTGTGTTTTCACTCTGCAGATGTAGTCATACAAGTGCACCTCTGCTTCACAGCACTGTTCCTACACCAAAAGCCAGTGTTCAAGATCAAATTAAACTGGGCAGCTTGGCATTGTAACTGGGTTGGTTGCTGGGTCTTAAAGGAGTTTATTGCTATGGCATAAGGTTGCCAGAGCATAAAATTAGAGGCTTGACAAGTAAGGATTTCTCACAGGACTCTGTACCTCTGGTGGATTCTGGGGCCAACCATAACCAGCTCTGACTTTCATCTCAGATATGAGATAGTTATAAATAAATGAGAGATTACCCTCCTCCCTGTGAAACAAGAGAAGTGAGGAAAGGAATGTTACCCAATGAAATCACTACAGCCTAATCTTTTCAAAACACCGCTACTGAACTTGCACTACTGTCAGTTCTTCTTTGCTGCCTCGACTTTCTAGAGCCCTTTTTCAATGATTTCCTACTCTTGAATTTTAAACTCAAGTCTTCTACCTCTGTTTATGATGTACAGTGAAATTTTTCTCACATACACAGGACCTCCTTTCCTCAACAGTTGCATCCACCCCCATTGTTCCTTTCAAGGCACTTTATCTATTCATCTATTCTTGTCTACTTCTCTTTTATCAGTCCAAATTTTCATGTAGTTTTTTTTTTTCTTAAGCAAAAAGATCTTTCCATTTATTTTTTTTCTTAGGCTCAGTGTCAAAAGCTCACTCCTACCCCATAACACACTCCACTGCTGCACATTTCTTTTCATCTTCTAGCTCCAATATTTGCTAGCAGACATGACAAAGACTGGCAGCCACAGACACATTCAGAAACATAGTAACTGGAAAAGAACAATTTAAGATAGTGGCACTTCAACATGGATGTCACTTCAGTTCTGTCCCCATCATTAATTCTAAAGGAGTCTTTCATCTCTACGTTATTGTATTTTAAAGCTCTATAAAGAAAGTTTCTCAAAATTCTTAAGCAATTCAGAGCACATATCCTAGTCAGAAAGCAATCATGTGTTGTTTGGGTTTTTTTTTTTTTAAGCTGGTGGATAAATCATATTTGCAGGGTGGTTTCCTATATTCATTGTTCAAATTGCTACATGCTAGCAGGGCCATGGGGAAATGTCAGCTTCTCAGAAACTTTCTTTATAAGCAAGTACGACTACCTGCCTAAAAACTGTTCAATCGGTTAGCAAAAGCCTTTGTTCCACTTTTTTCTTTCTCTAAGGGACACAGCTGGTCCTCTCCTATGCTCCCTCAAACACCTTGGATTTGTGAATGGCTACAAAGAGGCATTCTCACCAGACTCTAGAGGCATTTGTTAGCAACACTGAGCAAGAACAAGATGCTCAAGGTCTGCCAACAAATGTGAAAGATGTGTATCTCAAGCCCAAGATAAGCAAAATACATGTTTCTTCATACATTATTGCTCCAAGTCAGCCCCAATTTATTGTCCATCCAAGCCAAACTGTCTATACAACTCACTGGACCACACTGGGACCCAGATAACATATTTCAGAAATTCTCCTGAGAAAGAGCAGGAGCATTAGCAAAGCAGCACATGAATTAAAGCAGGCTTGATCCTCTTTAGTGTATGCTCGGAGCCTAGGGCCCACTAAGAACCTTCTGATCACTTAATCTGCCTATCTGGAGGATCTGTATATATACGAGATAATCCTGGTAATCAAGGGTGTAGATAATAGCAGTATTATTTTATTCCCATAAACATTTAAAAATAAATGTTTTGTTCTACCGTGCACTCTGTTAGGTAAAATTCACACACTCTGAAAAAGAAAACAAACCTGCCAGAAAACTGTGGAAATGTAACAGGAATAAAAGCAAGGATTAAGTATCTCAGAAGGCAAAACGCACTAAGTAAAAACATTTTGACTGTATACATGTTTTCCAATCAGAAATTACTGATAAACAACATAGAGCTGATACTGTATTATGGGAGGTGTCGGGAAGTATAATCATATTTACATACTGTTGTTGTGTACCCAGAACCCTTGGAACATGACAGGCAGGAGCAGGAGACAAAAGGAGACTAAGGTGTAGCTAAGACAGAGGCTGACAACTCCTTCTATCCAAGGGATGGAGAGCTGGGAATATTGGGGCAGTGGGGGACAGGAGAAAGCCCATAGCCAAGAAGGGTAGTCCAGGCCTGGTATGCTGGTGAGTGATCAGAGCAGTTGCAGTCCTATTCTGGTGCCCCCCTTAGAAATGTAGTATCTGCTTGAGCCCTACTTAGCCCATTATGTCACCACTAAAGCCAAAGAAAAATGTTGACAATTCAGGGACAGGACTGAAGGATGAAGTGTTACCGATATGGTTCAGTTGGTAAGAGTGGAAAGTCCAGTCCTCTCTCAGGGCTGTAACCACTGTAGAGCAGGAGCAAATCCTGTTAATGGGGTTTTCCTAGCCTTTGCATCTCTGAAGAAATGGACTCTTGATCTTTCCTGGTAGAATTTCCTTCTGATGAGAATTTCCTTCTGATCCTAAGGGAATTGTAGCAAGGACCAGAGGCCACTGCTATGACAAAGCATAGGTTCAGGAGCAGCAGTTATTGACAAGCTTCTGTTCAGTGAGCACCAGAATAATCCCCTAAATCATCAGGGGAAACTCAGGTCACCTTCCATTCCACACACCTCTAACTGTGGTTTATTAATAGACAATAAATTTGCAATTTCTACATAAGGTTAGTCTGTTCTATTTAATTTGTTTTGGGTTTGTTTTGTCGGGTTTTTTTGGGATATTTTCTGGAGGGGGGTTACTGTAAGATGAACAATACTTACTTTGTATCACTCTCCTTAAGAAAAATCTCTGCAGTCTCACCAGTTTCCCAAACTTCTGCAGACTTCACTCACATGGTGTAGGATGGGGAAGAACTTTCTCTACAGCCAGGCACTCCTGTTTCTCGTTGGTTTTAACTTGTAAATTTATAATGAGAGATACATCTAGGAAGGGATGGGATTTATTTGAAATTTAACAGTGGAATCTGGCTTCTTAGAGTTCTAGCTATTAGACTACAGTAAAACATTTTGTGATAAACCACAGCACTACACTTTGAAATTGGACTTGAAAAACCATCTACATCATATATCATCTGCAGAGCAGAAATTACTCACCAGGAGCTCTTGAGCAACAACAAAATAAATTTATACGTTTCTGCCAGAAGGATTGTGCCAAAAAGAGCAGACTAACCAAGAAATATTTTTTGCTACACAGTACTTACACAATTCTGATTATTGCTGTGACCCCCAAGTGACTCAGTTTGTCTATCTTCTGGAAAAGTATGCAGGATACCAATATGATTCATTATTCTTACTGCATTCATGGCAAAGTTTTTGGGGGTTTTTTTTGTTTGTTTTTTTTTACTTTATGAGTTTGGTTTGATCCACAACAAAGAGGCTCTTTGCAAAATCTGGATTGATTTTGCTTTTCAAATTCTCATGACATTCAGTGAAAGCTTAATCCAGCACTATTGAAGATTGAAGCCAGTGAAAGTTTTGCCAATGGCTTCAACTGGGAGTAAGAATTTAATTACGCACTAGTAAGAACTGTCAGCATTTGATTCTAGTACTTGCAAATGCAGAATATGAGCCTAAACAGATTGCAGTTGGTCCCCAAATGGCAGTACCATGGACTGAACCCAATTCTTGTTTGGTTTTTTGGTTTGTTTAGGTTTTTTTGTTTTGGAAAGAGGAATTTGTTTCTAGAATCCATACCCCAGGAAACTTGCCTTCTGTTTCCAAAGTATTTCCTTGATCTGTAGGAGCATTTTTTGTGAATAAATTTTTTACAGATTCACAGAATATTCTGAGTTGGAAGGAGGTCAAGAGTATCATCAAGCCCAGCTCTTCAGTAAATGGCCTATACAGGGACTGAACTCACAGCCTTGGTGTTATTAGAAGTGCCCTCTGATCAGCGGAGCTAAGTCCAGGCCACTGACTTCACTGGATGAAATAAAAAGTTATCATTGTTCTTCTGTGTGATTCCTCCCAAGCCTGCAGTCCCTTCCTCCCCAGTACCAAAGGAGGATTGCTTTTATGCATTCTCTTCCTTCCCTGAGGAACCTCCACAAGCTCTATTCAGATATTTTAGGTTTTCTTTATTAGGAGATCAAGTCTTCCTTAAATGTCAAGAGATTGTCTGGAGTCTTTTTTGTTTTTCCAAGAAAGGATGTTTACTTTCCTGGCTTTCACCAATTTTTTCAGGTTATCAAGATTTCTGTCAGGATATTAATTTTTTTCTGCTCCCTGCTCTCCACACAATTATCTGAAGTGCTTTGTGTTTTCCCACACAGGGGTCACTTCTAATCTCCTCCAAACAGGTTTTAATCTGCCTGCTTTAATGGAGTTACTTCTGATTTAGTTCACTTTGGCGAGGAATCACTCCATGATCCTTCACAGAGCTGTACTGGCCATCAACTTCCAAACTGTGCTGCATAATGCTTTTATTTTCTTTACGGGGCCTCCTAGCCCCAAATCCACACCTCAGCAAAAGTTCCACCATGAGTCAGTCTTCACATCACAGCCTGAAGGAGGACAAAGGAACAGAGTATCAGGATCACAAGAAGAGGATGCAGCATGGGCTCTTAGCCTCCACTCCATTTTTCCTGTCGTCTGTGCCAGAATAAGAAGACAAAGGAGTTTTTCCCCAAACCCATTTCTGCTGATGCCTAGACCAAGTTGAGACATTTTAATCTGTCCTGTCCACAATAACTCTGCTCATCCGATCTGAGTCTTTCACAGAAAGAAAAATCTCACCTGCTCTAGAGGTATCTGCTGGTTTGTTAGAAAACAATCAAATCTAGTAAAGAGATTAAAGGGGCAGTTCCAGAGACAGATGAGATACGTGGAATTGTTTCTCCTGGATGCATCAATCTTGCATCTAGTTACAGTAAATCAGCACCACAATGAACTCAATCCATTCCATGAACACATGGGCTAAGGGTTCATTTTTCAGCTGAGAGCAGTTTATTCTCAGAAGTCAATGCCCTGCAAAAGAAGATGAAGCAGATGAAAGATACCAAACTGAAAGTCAAATCTCTGTGCATGTGTTCTGTATTAAAGATTTTTTTCAATATTTGCATCTTGTAAGCCTTAAGTGAGAATAGATATTGTCGCTAAATAAATTAAAAATTAAACATAGACACCCTATTACTAAAATCTGTATACTTAATATCTGAGACAACCACTGAAGTTTCTTCTTTCTGTTTGTTGATTTACAAGATATATGCTTAGTTTTACAATCCAGCCTCTAAAACAATGCACACATTTTACTAGCAGCATAAACTTCTCCTGATATTAGTATCATAAAATATTTGACTTGCAAGTTTTGCTAAAGCAAGGAGCAAAATGTGGCACATACATAACCATTCCTAGTTCAATCCACTGCCTGAACAATGATTACATATTAGAGAGATATTTGACAAAATAAGAGTGAATGTTTTTGAAAGGAAGAATAACAGGTTCAACTATCTGAAAATCCATTCAGATAATGTAGTGAATAAAATATTCCAGAGTTTTCCTTAAAAACGTCTTGTCTAAGAAGTGTTGCTGAAACTTCTTAATGAGAAATTACTCGCAAAGGAGTTCTATCTACAAGGCAGCTGAGATAAAGTCCATGAAGAGATATATTCAAAGCCCTCCTCTGAGGGCAGGGCAGTTTATTTTGAACCCAATTTCTGGTTTTGAGTAGACAGAGGCAGATCAGTATTTTGTCCATCGGCTGTCAAGAACTGACTCCACATCCACCTTTGTAATCAGCATGAACAGATTCATTGACAATATCCAAGTGAAAACTCAGGTTAACTTTCACACTCTACCAAAAAAAAAAAAAAACAAAACCACAACAAAACCAAAAAGTGTATATTTTTTAATGCAGTGGTGGCTTGGAATCAGTATCATCCATTATTGACTTTGAAGCTAACTAATGGCTTTGCACAATATTAGCATTACTAGTATGAATATAGCTAATGGATATTAACACACTGTGAAAAAGTGGTCATTAAAACACTGTAAATGCATTTAGTTAATAATTAGCACCTTTGAAAGCTTAACTTCTTAACTAATGCATTTATTTCATAATTTATAATTGCAAAATCAAATGTACTCATTTTTATAAATTATAGTTTCAAAAGAAATGCGCTCAGTGTAATTCTAATATACATTTTTATGCCTCCTTTCTTTCTCTTTTGCACGTTATAGAAAGTACAAAGGAAGAAGATTTCAGCAGTAATTCAGTTACGGCAAACTAAGCAGATGGAGCTCCTGCAGAAAGCATTCCCCAGACAAAAAAGCAAAATGCCACATGGAAATGCAATGCTCCTGAGTAGACACCAAAGTGCCTGGTCCTCTCTGTCCCAAGTGTTCTCTCTTGGAGCTGCCACTTAATTTATTGATACACTCAGGATCTGCTGGATGAGCATCATGCATCAATGATCTTCTTCAAAAGTTGAGCTTCAACACAAAGGCTTCAACAAAAATAAAAAGTGCTTCCATTCCCAAACACTATTATAGTAGAGATCCAGTTTCCTGATGCAGGGAATCTGTAAGAAAAGTGGTTGAATTTATCATATGCTAGAGGGGAAAAAACTCCAACAAATAACACCCTGAATATCCTCAAAAAAAAACCAAAAAAACAAAAAAAAAAAAAAAAAACCACCCTCGATGAGGTAAGCATAAAAAACAGAACAGAAGGAGTGTGGAGGAGAGTAAAGAGATGACATTCTCATAGCAAAATCCCCACTAGAGAAAAAAGAAAATACTTCAACAAATATCTCCTATTGTATGTATATTGTGAGCACAGAGACCCCCTCAGCTGGAGGTTTTCCCTTCTTTTTCACAACATCCTTTAAACCACTCTTCAGGTTCCTGTGGGAAAAAAAAAATCTTCTCAATCCCGTACTGTGTTCATTTGAAATTCGAAAACTAATGAAGCTTTTGTCTCCCTCTTAACATAAGAGTTACAGTCACCTCTAAAAATAAAAGACATAATCTGTTAAAGAGCTAAAAATACTGAGCTCTGAGAGCCTTTTCAGACCTTTACATATAAGATGATTAGATGATTGACACCCTTGCACCTTTAGTCTTCACAAAGAAAATGGTGAGGCAGGAGCTCCTATGCCCACCTCACAGCAACTCGTTCATCAGCTGTCTTCCAGTTGTTCTCCCACAGCTCAAATAAATCCAGCACAGTCTGGGTAGAAGGTTAGTGGACAGAAAGTGGTATTCATGAAGAATCTAAAACAATCACCCAAAGGTGCTTGGGCAACACTGTTTTAGGAAAGAGCTCTATATTTTTTTTTTTAAGTAGGAAAAGCAGGGAGCGCTTTCAGATAGGAACGCCAAGAAGTCCAGCTATGTGCCACCTGCCCAAATCCCCATGGCTGCAGGACAAACAAAATCTCTCCTGGAACACAGCAGGACAAGGGGTGCAGGCTGGGTGAGTCACTGCATGCTTTGAATTTAACGGGACAGTTAAAACAATTAGACCTAGTTACCAATAGAACAAAAAGCTCTCCTGTTTACCATAAAGTCTTGTCACAGTGAAGTATAGCCACAGTGTAGTGACCAAAACTGTTCATTTTCCAAAGCTAACTGGTAAGAACAGACAAACATTTGCCTCACTTTCCTAACTTCAAAGTTTTGTTGAGGATCCACAGCAAGTTGTTGGCAAAGACAGAATTACAGAGATGAGTCTGATCCAGGAGATGAGGAGCTGACCCATGGCAGACACAGACAGCTCTAGTTGGTTCCACCAGACCCACTGCAGGACACAGACAAGTTCAGAATGTGCCTCTGTGATAAGGTAACACGGAGAGAGGAGAACTAAAAGCAATGAGAAACACCAGAGGGAACATCAAGGTCAGAGGTGGAGCAGGTACACCTGAAGGAACTGCAGCCCATGAAGAGCCCAGGAAGAAATAGATATTTCCCGAGATACTGAAGATAGGAAGGAGAATCTGCATAAAAGCACAGGAAAAGTGTGAGAGGAAAAGAGCAGGAGACAGAAATCACCAAACCTCTGGGTTCTGCCACTAACTGCCCCCTGACACTACTTGGGGACCATCTACAGGAGTCTGGAGAGGAGATGGGAGGGGAGAAAAGAGAAGGGGATGGGAGGATATATCTTTGTATTTGTTTGTGTCTTAGATTTTATTCTAATTGGCAATAAATTAAATTATCTTTCTCCAAGTCAAGCCTGTATTGCCTACAACAGTAATTGGTGAGAAATTTCCCTGTCTTTATGTTGACCAATGAGCTTTCTTATCCTATTTTCTCCCAGGCCTCATGGAGAAGGGTTATGAGTGAGAAGCTGGATGGAAATTTGGGTGTTTGTCAAAACTAATCCACCACAAAAGTGAACCCATCACAATGTGCCAAAACTCAGTAGCACATGGACTTTCTCAGCCTTGAGTCTCTGCAAGAGGATGTAATTGGTTTCAATCAAAGGGAGTACTGGGAAAGGTAAAAGCTATTTTACAGAGTTCTTCTACAGATGTAGTAATAAATACATAAATAAAAAGATTATTCCCTAAGGGAAATACCAGTTTCAGCTTTTGCTAATCATTTGGAGGAAGAGGAGACATCTGAATGATCCCGGAATCCCCAGTCCTGCTGTCCTTTCTCTTAGAAATAAAAAGTAGAGTGGAGAACAGTTGAAGATCCTCCAGCAATGACACCATTGTTCTTTTTGATTCTAAAAATACCCTATTTAGTTCAGCATAAGGGGAGGAGAGAGGGTCTGGCTGAGGATTTGACCTGAGGGTGAGGGACAGGGAACTTTCCAGAAAAAAGGGTCAGGTTTGGGGTGATGGACAGGGCAAAGGGGTTGGGTTACCTTTATTGGCAGGGAAGGATCAGGAAAGTAGGGAGGGGATTCTATGAGGGAGAGTTAGGTAGGTGGGCATAACATGGGGAAAAAACACCTGGAATAACTTGGGGGTCACTGGAACATACCATAAAATGACAGAACATTCAACTCAATAAATTTACACTACAGCACCCTGCCTTTTTTGACCAATGCTGACTCAATGGCAAATCTTGTCTGAGGCTGGGGACCAGGGCTGTGCCTTTTTATCACACAAATTAAAACCAAGTTTTGTTGTTCTCAGTTGGCAGAGACTGTGTAGCATTCATGCAGGTGTTGTGACATACTGGCTATGACCTCCTGTTTAAACTGTACTTTGGTCAGCTGTACTCCAGATAGTCATGCTCTTTATGATCTCAAATCAACAAAATAATCTCTACACTTGGGGGCACTGCTGTGGGTTGACAAACGAATTGTTCTGGCTGCCTGACATACACAAAAGAGAACATTTACAAATTCTTTAAAAGTGCACTGTATTGGTCAGTGTATAATTATTTCCAAATCTAGTATCAGCAATATTTCTAGTTCTATTGTGCTAGCAGAATTTTAATAAAGATTAAATTACTCACCCAAGTTTCACTTTACTAACATTGTAACCTGGGCCTTGTAATCAAAGGGAAAAAATTAACTCTGGCTTTCTTCTTGTATCCTCAATCTGATTATAATTTAAGGAAAAAACTTCAGTTCCATAGAATGGGAATGCATTTCCCCAAACTTGTTACTTCTCTCCCAAATCAAATATTTGTTCTCATTCTCATAGATGAATCATGCAAATCCCTTTTTTTTCTGATTCATTCCCTGTAGATTTCTCTCCATTAAAGGAATGTTAAATGAGGTGGACAGGACATCTATAGTACCTCTAGAGCAGCAGAGCAGGAGTCTTTCCTCACTTGTGTGGTTACTGAAATTTCCATGAGCTTGTCCTCTAATACCAGGTCTGTTGAACGTGAATTGACATGCATCCTGTAGCGTCACACTTTACAGATGTCCTGAGTTTTCTAGGACATTCTTTGCTGGACTTCAAATCCTCTTCAGGATCTGAATTTGCAGGCTGACATCTGAAGAATGTTATTCTTTCTAACTTATGAGTTTTAAGGCTATCCATTTCACTTCGCATTTGACA